GATATTAAAAGTAGTAGCAGGCAAACGCCCCTATGGTGTACTGATGACCTTTCCCTGGCGACTGCCGTTGATCACACATCTCATCCATCTCTAAACGCTGCAAGCGCCAGTTAAAAAGGTAAACCAGAATTCCGCAATGCATGTTTACGCAGACGACGTGTCGGCATGGAACGCCTTGTGGACGTTCTCCTGGATGAGCAGCTACAGCATGGCCACGTCATCAACGCGGCGGAGGGTGGCTTGATAATCGATTAACCATGTGGCAGCCAGCGGGCGCAGTGTGTCGCGTACGGGCGCATTTTCCACTGTAAGGAGAACGTGGAGCACCTACTTCCGTTTGCGCAGGTGCTGCTCCGTCGCTGCCCGAATTGCGCTTGGGTCGGGTACCCGGGACGCCTCGTCCCTACTGAAGGCGCCTTCTATCCTGATACTGTATTGGTGGAAGTGCACCTGCCGCAGGAAAATGTTAGAGAGCTGCTCCCGCGGCGGCAGATACGCTCACCTCCCGCGGGTGCAGAGTTGGAGCAGCGACGTGTGGAATGTGGATCCGGGAGATTATGTTGTTCGGTCTTGTCCGCTGGCCGTCCCCCTTGGAGCCAGGGTATCGCCAGGCGTCGAGCACTTGTTTCGTAAGGAGTTACGCGGACGTTGGAAGATGCTGTACCTATCTGTGAAAAACGAGACCTTCGATTACGTCCAGCGTCAGGCAGACTATCCATTGACAACACATCACTCGGTAAGTAGGCTCACTCTGCTATTAAGGAAAATGGCCCGGTATATGGTTTCAAAAATGGTATTAACGCGCTATGCGTAGCTTGCGCGTATTACGTAACTGCGTGTTATGACGTACGTGTTGTCTGTTTCCGTTATGTACGATTTGCTGTTCTTATCTAACGCATTTGATTGCTATCCATCCATGATTCTGGTTTAACGAATCAGTCTGGAGTTTCTAACTTCGACTAAATCTGTGAGCTTGATTCTAGCTGAAAGGTCGCGTGACTCTAGGTTAGAAGGAAGTTCATATCTCGTTCTGTTCTGTTCTGTTGGTTTGTTCGTTCAGTTTGGTGATTAAACATTTGGGAAGTTCCTGAGTGTTTGGGTTTCGGTAACTTTCGTTAGGCACAGCAATCCGCTCGTACCTAGGGGAAGTAGGTAGTAGTACCACTTACGGAGTCCAGAGCATATTCCCACTCTACCGATTGAGTAGGTTTGATCATCTAGTGCGGTTTTCGCGGTGCGACTTCCGCATAGCATGTCAGTATTATTACACTAAAACTTTCGCTTTCCCGCACTCCGAATGACTGCAAGCGCTTTTTCACTGTTTCATGTCTCCGTCCTTGTTCTCATAGATACGAAACAAATTAAACGTTTACTCAATCACTGGACGCGAAATGTTTTACAGGCAGATATCTACAGAGTAATGAACACGGCTGGCAGGTGCACACCCGCGACGCCATACCGTCCAGTACCGATTGGCGTAGTACCAAAGTGCAGCCGGAAAGATGCGATGGCCGGCAGCGACGATGAGGACCTGCGGTTGCCGCCTGAGCTGTTGGTGGAGATCTTCCCCTCGCTGGACTCCATCAGGCGCGTGCGCTGTCGGCGCGTACATCCACTGTGGAACACTCTTCTCACCACTGGCACCTACTTTCCCGATGTGCGCGTCGCACAGGACGCGGACTACGATGCTCGCCCGTTTCCGGACAACGTTAACGGCACGTACTGGGTGGTGGCCTGCCTGCTGAAATGCCTCAGCAGCCGCATCCGGATGCTGCTGCTCAGCGGCCTCGGCGTCTTCAACTGCCAGGAAGTGGCCGTCCCCATCATCCAGGTCATCCGTGCCGGTCGCCGTCTACCGCTGCTGGCACTGCATGACTGTGATCTGGACGACGGAATCGGTTGTCCGGAGACGATTTGTCACGTCTTCGTAAAGTCATTTATTCACTTAGCTCTTCACAGTCATACTGGCAGCTTACGCTGCTGCTGTTCGCACGTTGCTATGTCACATCATCACCTGGATGATGGCCGTCCCCATCATCCAGGTCATCCGTGCCGGTCGCCGTCTACCGCTGCTGGCACTGCATGACTGTGATCTGGACGACGGAATCGGTTGTCCGGAGACGATTTGTCACGTCTTCGTAAAGTCATTTATTCACTTAGCTCTTCACAGTCATACTGGCAGCTTACGCTGCTGCTGTTCGCACGTTGCTATGTCACATCATCACACCTTCCCCAGTGTGTGAAACACACTAAAGAAAATGCACGATATTTGAACATAAGAATTCCAGACTTAACACCAAATTAATCGGAAAATAAATCCAAAATATCGGTATCTTTCACTGCTTCCTTCTTTTTCCGTTTCTTCTCCCGCTTCATTTGGCTGCGAGTCTTAACCAGTACACTGCTTGAAACCGTTCCCCTTTCCTTTTCGGAGACGCTTCCGATTGGCGGGATATCATTTTCTGGCCGTTCGATACTGACCCCGTCAGTGTTTCCGCCATCGCTGACTGCCACCACGTGTTGCAAAACGTCGCAGTCTTCTGCCATTTCGATCGCCGCAAGTTCTTCCACGTTCCGGTTCTGCTCCGGCTGATATCGCCGATGCTCCACCGGTCTCCAGTATCGTGGAGTCGCTGCTGTGCTCCTTCGTGCCATTTCGTCCACCTTCGTGTGCAAGGCAGCCAGTTCACCTAGCACAGTATGCAGGACCGCATCTCCGTCCTTGCTGCATCTCCAGGGGCGGCTGCTTGCTCGCCTGGTGTAACTAGGCTGATGTTTCACCATACAGTCAAAATCATTATCCACATTAACCTGTAGCACATCGAACTCTTCTTCTATCAGATTGGTGCGCCGTGCACCATCCCTCTGCTGCTCTTTCTCCTTCGGGTCGGCGCGACAGGCCCTGGCAATGTGGCCATATTTCCCGCAGTTGCCGCACCGCAAATCTTTCGCCCAACATTCGGCCTTGCGGTGGTCGCGCTCTCCGCACCCATAACATCCGCCACCGTTGTATGGCCACCGTGCCGTCTGGCTTCCGCCTTCACGGTCTCTCTCCCCACTACCGCTTCTGCCGCGGCGGTTGTCGCCCTGGGCTTCACGCCCTTTTGGCCTCTCTCCACGGCCACCAGCTCCGTGACCTTTATCCGGGCCACGCCCATCGCGGACTCTCGCCACATCCACCGTCTCCGTGGTCTTCTTCGTACCCCGGGCGAGCTCGTACAGCTCGCAAATCTCCAAGCACTCCTCCAACTTGGTGCGTGTCTTTGACATCAGGTGCAGCCTGGTGTTTTCGTTCACCAGTCCATTGGTGAATGCAGCCATCATGTTCTGCTCCAGGACTGTCGCAGGGAACCCAACCACCGTCGCCTTCCGGCGCAGTCTATTGGAGAACTCCAGGAGCGTCTCCCCAGGTTCCTGCTTAATCCTGAAGTATAACGCCCACTCCGTCTCCTTCAGCGTTTTCTTCACAAACGCTTGCTCCAGCTTATCCGCCAGCTGGCCAGCGGTGAAATCGTCCGGACTGCCAGGCAGGCACATGGAAATAAGAATCTCCAGCGCCTCCACGCCTAAGGCGTCCAGCAACACCGCCTTCTGCTCGGCCGTGTCCGTGACCTTGTGCAGTGCTACGTAGTTTTTGTAGCGATACTGCCAGGATCGCCAGGTCATCACGGCTGGCTCGAACCTCATCAATCCACCGGTGTCCTCCTTTCTTCCTCCCGATAGCATGGCTGTACCACTTCCCGAAGGCATAACCACGCTGTTCGTAAACAATTTATCACTCTTAAACGGCAATGAGCTCGATTCCTCACGCCAGATTGTCACGTCTTCGTAAAGTCATTTATTCACTTAGCTCTTCACAGTCATACTGGCAGCTTACGCTGCTGCTGTTCGCACGTTGCTATGTCACATCATCACCTGGATGATGGTCGTCCCCATCATCCAGGTCATCCGTGCCGGTCGCCGTCTACCGCTGCTGGCACTGCATGACTGTGATCTGGACGACGGAATCGGTTGTCCGGAGACGATTGTTGACGGATCGGTTATGCTGGCCGTGGTCTGCGGCTGCGATCGGATGGTGTGGAAACAGTCCCGCCTCTTCGATGTCCGTTTTATAGCAACTGTACGGCTGCACGCATTCAGCATTCAATCGCTTGAGCGGCTGGAGATGGAGATGTGGGATGGCATGGAGAGCAGTTTTGCTGCTGCGGAAACTGCTGAATCGTCTGCTCATCGCCGAATGGACCGCTGATTATGTTGAACACCAACGAAGCTCGCTCGTTGCAGAGCTGAACTTATAAGTCCATGGTTTGCTGTGCGTTGTGACTTACAGTAATACCGTCTACAAGAATGGCAGCCGATCACTTCGCCCGCTCTTCACTTCGGCCAAGTTATATTTCGGCTGACAATGCCTGACATACAGATACTTCCGCAGCGGAAGTACAGTACTGGATCTGTATGTCAGCCGAAATGTTTTTTAAGGGAGTTTGTGTAGGCGGAAGTTGTATGCATCCTACCCCGTTGGTTGGTGTTGCCGTGTTAACGTTGGTGTTCTACGACTGCCGTTTCGGCCATCCGTGTGACTCCGCGGATGCAGTGGTTTTCGGCATGGCGCACCTCATATGGACGCCACGAAAGTAGGAGAGTACGAAAGCATCGCAGTCGTCCGTCGTTGATCTGCATGTGATGGCCATAATACCGCGTTATGTGTTCAGCACCCCCGACGTCTTGGATCTGTCATCTATCTATAATTTTACGCCTCGTTGGAGAAATTTACCTGCTCCATTATCCATAATTTGCGGAAATAAATGGGTGCCATTGAAGGAAAATCTGCGAATATGGCGGAAGAAGCGTGAATTTCCTCTTATAAGAGGAAGTTCAGATCTGCCGCCCAAAGTGGCGGGTACGTTGTTTACTCGACTGCCAGCCGTAGCTTGCTAGTTACGCAGTGCTTGCTACTTGTTACGCTGTTGCCTGTTGGTGTTCTTCCGATTTCTTGAAAGTTTTGCTGAAGTCCGTGAGAAGACTCCATTTTTAACAGTTAGTTTTAAAACAGTACTAAGTATTCAGTTTCAATATCAGAACAGTCGGCTACGTTGCATGTAGTGCGCTGGTGGATGGCATTACGTGCAGTAGCCATAATTATTCTGTAGATTGTGACCACGCTGATTTCATCATCTCATTAATCTGCGGAATGCTTTTTTACGGCGGCGACGAGGACGCCGTTCACGCGTGGAACGCCGTGGATGTTCTCGTTGACGGCCAGCTGCAGCACGGTCGGGTGATCAACGTGGCGGAGAATGGACTGATCATCGATTTCGAATGCGCCTCGCAACGCGCGCAGTTAATCGAGTACGGAGTACTACGGACGCGTCTTCCCGTGCAAGAAGAACGCCGAACGCTCCATGACGAACGTGCAGGTGCTGCTGCGTCGCCATCCCGACGGCGCGTGGATTTGGTACCCGGGACGCGTGATCCCCATGGAATCCTTTCTGTACGACTATGCGGAATACGTGGAAGTGCGTCTCCCGAAAGGGAATGTCAAGGAGCTGCTGCCTTTGGCACAGGTGCGTCCACGATCCGCGGGAAGATTGTCTAAGCGGGGACCCATGCAAAGGAGTGATTTTATGGTTCGTTCTTGCCGGATGCCCACTCCTGGCTTGTCGAACCTGCCAGCGCGGGTCCTGAAGAAGTTCAAAGCGGAGCTGATCCGCGTCGGGAACGCGGCCTTCGTCTCGCTGCTGGGGGACACCCTCACCTATTTCCAGCTTGCGGATGCGCAGCTGCTCACGACGGAGCGATTGGTACGTTACGCCCACATAGTCTTGCTGAACGTGCCACCTGTATGTTGTATCAGATTGTCCCGGAACTTCTGCTGCATCAACACAGCAACAATTACAAACGCCTTACCACGCCACATTACGTATTTACGCTGTGTATGCATCTGACATTGTCAAATATCCATCAAAATTATAAACGATGGACATAAATTTTCAGACATTAACTTATATCTTTTTTATAGTTGATTTATTTATTTACTCTTTATAATGCTGTATAAATCTAGCGGGGATTAAATTTGTCATCGTTGTGGACGTAGTGTAGTGGCAGTTTCCCTAGCACAGTTTTCCCGTTAAATACGTGCTGTCTGCAATGAGTGTATTCTGTATCTTTACAGTAGAAAGTACGCCATAAGCTGACACCATGCGAAACTTTGATAATTGATTGTTGCAGGTAGCCATCTGCAAACTAGCGAGAAAACGCAGCGATACCCCGCAGTGGTCGCGCCCCTTAACGATTAGCAGCGTTCCACGATCCAATAAAAAGCGCAAGATATCCGGCAGCGAGGTAAAGGGATTCCCGTTACCCGTGGAACTGCTGGTGGAGGTCTTCCAGTCGCTGGACTCCATCGGCCGCGTCCGTTGTCGTCGCGTCTGCCCACTGTGGAACAGCATTCTCACCACGGACGCCTACTTCCCCGACGTGCGCGTGTCCGGCAATTGCGCGGATGGCGATTATCCAGCGATGCATTTCTATGGGCTGGTGGACGGCAGGCTCTGGGTGGTGGACGGCATGTACTGGGTGGTGGCCTGCCTGTTGAAGTGCCTGAGCAGCCACACCAAGACGCTGACGCTGAGCCGGCTGGATGTGTACGAGTGCCGCGCTCTGCTCGCCCCCCTCCACCACGTCCGCCCCGGGCGCCGTCTGCCGCTGCTGGTGTTAAACAACTGCCACCTTAGCGGACCCCTCCTGGACTGTCCCCGGGACGTGATCGCGTCCACGGTGCAACTGGCCGTCGAGTGCGGCTGCGAGCGGATGCTGTGGCAGAAGTGTCGCCTGTCCGATGCCATCCTGACGGTTTTCGTCCCGCGGCACGCCTTTAGCGACCTGTTGTCGGAAGCGCTGTCGGTGCAGCTGTGGGATCTGTTCGAGAGCCGTCTGGTTCTGGAGAAACCGCTGGATCGGTCGGCCATCGCCAAGTGGATCGCCGACTGTTTACGCTACCCGCTCAACCACTACATTCCGTCGATTTTGCAGGTACGTAAAATAATAGTTGATCGTTCATTGTGAACCAGGTTCAGTTAAGTACATTGTGCATACCAGACTTGGCCCATCTTTTGGGTGAGGTGAAAATTTTCCCCATTTTTCCCAGCCCATCTCATCTTTTAGGTGAAAATGGGGATGAGGTGGGAAAAAGCCGCAGATGAGGTGAGATGGGCTGGGATTGTTGAAAGATGGGATGGGACCAAGAAAACAAATAAAAATAAAAAATGTTGATATTTTCATGTGTTTTCCACGCTTGGAGCATGTAAAAATGCACCATTCGAGCTCCAAAAACAAAAATTTTCCGCGCTCCGCGCGGATTTGATCAATAAGTGAGCATATTCTCTTGAAAACCGAAATTGTTTTTTGCCCGGCAATTCTGTCCCATGCGGAAAACTTGCAAAAGTAGCGGCGTTGAGCCTGTAAAAAAATGGGGATGAAGATGAGATCGAAAAGGTGAGATGGGCTGAAAATTTGAGTAGCCGGAGGTGGGCTGGGCTGGGAATTAAACTGTGAAGGTGGGGGTGGGATGAAAGTGGGAAAAGCGAAAATGGGCCAAGTCTGGTGCATACTACATAGGTGTGGTGTATGTGTAACAATAAACTGACTGACTAGAGAAATGATTACGTTGTGTGTTGTGAAAATTAGGTGCTTCATTCGTTTTTGGAAATCAGTCCCTTTTCTGTCTTTAAGTGGTTGAGTGTTTGTCCCCGCTCTGAGTGAAGTGTTGCAGTTCATTGGCCGTAAAATTCAGTATTCAACTGGACAAACGCATTCTACTGACGGAATATAGCAGCTTACAGTAGCGGTGCGTACGTAAAGTGACGGCTTTATCGTACTTTCCATTATTCGCTGTACATTCTCGATTATTCTCTTTTGTGTTCGGGTCAACTTTTGGTTTCGTTTCTACACGGATGCGCCGTGTCTATATAAGTCCGTGAGGGCAGTTTTTACATCACCAGTTCTCTCATTACGAGTTTGGCAGTGATCGGAGTTATTAATTAAAATATCGTCGGAGATGCAGTTCTCGCTTCGCGTAGATTCGTAGACTTAGCTATGCCACATTGAGGTACCAGCTCATTCTCTGTCGTTGAGTTAGGTCGGTAGGATAGATTCTATTTACGGTAATTATTCCTATCGTACTGATCTCTCCGTCACTACTGCTTTTCTCCAGCAGCCAGGTTGTTTAGTCGAGTTGCTGTTAAAAGAAATACAACGGCTCTTTTAAGTACGTAGTTGTTGTTACCATACTCAACACTAACCGCCCAGGTGCTGCCTGCAGGGCCTCCGGGATTATCAGAGCGCGGATCCCCGTCCCGCCACGCCCTACCGCGGGCGACTGTGGACGGCGTCCAGCCTAGCCCAACTGGAAGTCGCCCAACTGACCACCCTAACGGCGGCGTTTCTCAAAGAACGCATGGCAGACTGATCCCTCTTTTTTCTTGCTGACCTGTACAAGTCTGATCGTAATGCAACGGAATGCTGGCAGAATTTGCGAGTTTAGTTTCCCGACATAAAGCACTTATAGACAAAGCTGTGCTCCAGTAAATGTCAAGAAATGTGGATAGGAAGCGGCTACGTATTGGAGTGGATTAGTAATTTATCAGCGTGCTGATGGTGGCTGTTGCGTTTAGGGTGATTGCCTAGGGTCAGGAGTATCAACCATATACAGACTGACTGAGACTGTAGTCACTGTACTAAGAAGCCGGCGTTTGGTCGCTGCGTAAGAAGAAACATTAAACTGTGAAACTCTGTCATCTGATAGTGAAATACTTTTTTATTAATTACTTTCTTCACCAACAGTTTACATTAAATTCGGAAACAGTCACTTAATAAGCATCAATCGGAAGGGGCGGCCAAATGACAGAGAAGATTTGATCTAAATTTGCTCTCATCGACGCTGTGAATTACTAAGTATGTAAGTTGTAAACCGAACCTTTTTCGACCGAAAGAGCCAGTTGACGCTCGGTGCGGCTCTGTTTTTTATGATAAAGTTGGATACGTTGAGGCCAGTTGAGGCCCTGACATATCTCCAGCTGGCGGATTACACGCCACTCAACACGGACCGACTGGTGAGTACTCTTCGCAGCCCCACTTTACATCCTGCTTATTTTTATATAATGACGAAGAAAATCCTGCTTGACACGAAGCGGAGAAATTTTTTGCTGATAAAAATAGGGCCTGCAGGGCAATCGGTTTTTGGAGGGGGAGGCAAACGTCGAAAATTTGCCGGTTGACACCCCCCCCCCCCCTTTACGCCGTTGCATTATAACTTCAAACATTTCACATTTCAAGCTTCAAATTAAAACATATCACTATCAAATGAGGGAGCGTTCGAAGTGTATTTGAAATTGTGAAACCACCTGAAGCGCGTTTGAAACGATTCGAATTGCAAGAAAAAACTTTAGATTACTTAGTTTTGAGTGGTGGAAAGATACCATGGAATCTGTTCAAAATTTATTTAAAGAAATTTCAGGGAACGTGAGATTGTAAATAAAATCAGTGAAACAGTGATCAGCCAGGGATAGGGAACCAATAGAAAGCGAAAAATGTCCGACAGTAATGGGGAAAGTTTTCCGCTTCCGGCGGAACTGTTGGTGGAGGTCTTCCAAACCCTGGACTCCATCGGACGCGTCCGTTGTCGCCGTGTCTGCGCAGCGTGGAACATGATGGTCACGACGGAAGGCTACTTCGCCGATGTGCGCGTGTCCGGAGACGCGAATGCCGGTTACGGCGCGGCGGATTTCGCGGAGGACGGCCGGTACTGGGTGGTGGCGTGCGTGTTGAAATGCTTGAATAATCGCAGCAGGATGCTGGTTCTAAGCCACATGGAATTGTTCGAGTGCCGAGACCTGATCACTCCCATCAATCACGTTCGTCCCGACCGCCGCCGGCCGGCGCTGGTGTTGTACGACTGCTATGTGAACGAACCGTTTGACAGTATCCAGGAGGTTATCGAGTCTGTGGCCGATCTGGCCGTGGATTATCGGTGTGAGAAGATGGTGTGGCTGAATTGCCGCTTCACTATTGGTACGCTGAAGGCGCTGGTCCCGAAGCACGTTTTCAGCGGCCAGTCGAAAGAGCAGATGCAGTTGGCGCTGTGGGATCTGTTGGAGAGTCATCTGGTTCTGAAGAAGCCTCTGGATCGGCCGGCCATCGCGCGCTGGATCGCGGACTGCCAGCAGCGCAGCCGTAACGTACCTACGATTTTGGTGGTAAAATGTTCAATATGACTTGGTTAAGCTTGAAGCCTGGATCAGCTACAATGGGACGGAACGAGCTTTGACTGTCGCTTTCATGTAGGGTCTCCGCGATTACCAGAGTGCGGATCCGCGTCCATCCATGCACTACCGCGGTCGCCAGTGGACCGAATCCGATTTCGAACAGTTGGATGTCGCGACGCTGACCATGTTGACCGCGGCTTTTCTGCAGGAAAGCATGGATGAGTGATCACGCTCATGGAAGTGTAACAGGCACTGCATTCTTGGACCGGTTACGCTGTAATCCGAGACTTCTTTCAAATACGGGAACAGTATCAACACACTTCAATTCGATGTCAATAGTTAATGTGCTGCTGTGGCTGCGTCTGTTGTTATGATTTTGATAACTGTATTGTTACGGCACAAGAGCAGACAAGCCCAAGGGGACTGCAAGGCTGGTCGAAGCGCTGATGTAAATACTGAGGACAGATCAACAGATTTGAGTAGGAAGTTACATGCTTAGGCAGGTATAGAACTTGCGTTAATTGGAAGAGTAAGAATTTGTATCAAGAAGACGCATTAACCGCATTTCCATTTAATTAATTTAATTTAATCGCAATCAGAGCAGGTAGCCCGTATCCGGCTAGGTTGACAGTCTAGCATGGGATGGCTGATCCTTAAAACAAGTTAGAGAACGTAAGTTCAACACATCACTACTACAGGAGCAAATTTTATTCAGCAGCTTATGTAGTCTACATGCGAGCGCTGCTTCTCCAGTTTTCGGCGCCGCATGTGTTTTGATGGTTGGGCGGGTTACGTGTCGCAAGCTGTACGGCTTCTTTTGCTCCTCCAACACAATCATTTCCGCGATGTACGTCGGGACATGGAATGTCGTAGGATGCCAGATTTTATATAGCCAGGTGGCTTCCTGGTGCTTCCATCTGGTGAACAGCGGGAGGATTCCGAACTGATTCATTAGCGTTTTTCACTGGTGTTCTCGGGTAATTCGCGATCGCCCGAACAGCATTTCGGTGTGCAGCAGCTAATTTCTCACGAAAGGACACAGACCCGCCGTTGCACACAGTAGAACAGTAGTCCAGATGAGACTGGACAAATGCGTAAAAAAGTCCGATGTGTTGGGAATTGCACAGGCCGTCTTTTGCACGATTTATGAGAGCGATTCCTTGACTGACACTTTTGTGGACCTTATTACAATGTTCGGCTCATTTTAAATGTTGGCCAATTATCACCCCCAACCCCAAGTGCATAACTGCTGTTACATACTGCTTCCAGTCTGTTGGTAACAGCAGTTAAGCTGTTAACATAGTCGACTCTTCAATAACTTTCGTTGCCCGTGCTGCGCATCATTTCCCGGTTTTCGTAAATTGTAGTGCATGGTGTTCGCTTTCACTTTGATCAAGTCCAGGAGGTAGGCGGGAAGCGAGAAGTGATTCTTACTCCAGATCTTGTCCAGCCACGCCGCATCGCTCTACGCCATCGGTCGAATATATGGGGAATACCCGATTGCTGATACAGTTCCGGAGTAACCGGCATCTTGTAATCAGTGATGGTTTTCAGAGCTTCACATTGTAGTCCGGCTAGTGACGTGATATAGCATACGGTAGCGATGTAGTACGTAAAGTGACGGCTTTACTCGTACTTTCTGTTATTCGCTGTACTTTCTCGACGTTTCTCTTTTGTGTTCGGATTTACTTTTGGTTGCTTCTACACGGATGCGCCGTGTCTATATAAGTCCGTGAGTGGCAGTATTTTACATCATCAGTTCTCTCATTACGAGTTTTGGCAGTTTCGGAGTTTCTAATTAAAATATCGTCGGAGATGCAGTTCTCGCTTCGCTTAGATTCGTAGACTTAGTTATGCCACATTGCGATTATTAGCTCATTCTCTGTCGTTGAGTGGGTCGGTAGGATAGATTATTGCGGTAATTATTCCTATCGTACTGATCTCTCCGTCACTAGCTTGTCGCGCTCAGCCGAAGACGCTGCAGACCATACCGGCGACTGCTGTGCGATATAGCAACCGAAGCGGGCGTGCTAATGACCTTTGCGCTGTGATATGCTGAGCCCTTGTTGTGCTCGCTTAATCATGGCAGTGCCGAAATTCCCTTTACGTTTTACCTTTCCGAACTGATCATTCCATTTCAGGTGGTTATCGATCTCAACGCCGAGATATCATAGAAGTATACATTTTGCTATGCCGACAACTGACCCATTGATGACGACTTCTGGATCCGGCTGCATATTGTAGTCGGAACAAATGTATATCGCTTGGCAATTCTTTTCGTTTGTATGCAGCATATTTTCTTCCATAACCTGGCCGACACGCACCAGACCATCGTTCAGTTTAGCGGCCATCGTTCAGTTTGTCTTATGCAAGGTCACGAAGCAATTATGACCCATTACCCAGAATCGAGAAACACCAGTTCATTGTGCGGCCAGATCGCCGACCTAAATTTATTAGAACGTCGGACTAAACGTCCCGTACGAGCGGAAACGAAAACTATAGAAATAGAACGGGCAGCTTTGGACAAATGTAAGTGTCGACAGCAAGATCGCTTCACTGCGATTGTAATTAAACCTGTATGTACTCGTACCGTTTCTGTCGGAAGGCTCAGAAGATTTGTCCGTGTGCCGTTGTATGACGGTGTCTCCGCCTTTACGGCAGAGTCTGTACACGCCAGTTCAAGTTGGAGCACATTTCAAGCCTAGACTGTAAATATAATGGTCGTGGCAATTCGGGAGATCAACATGCAATAATAACTGGCTGGCTGCAGTCCATGGCTGCAGTAACGTAATGGACGATTTTCATTGATGGCACAGAATGACTGTACGCGAGTGTGCAACAGTACAGCGAATTTATCTAAAGGTAGACGAGAATACTTTGAGGCTCTTCCGGGTTGTTTAGACATCGGTCTTAGACATGGTCACATGTATAATGGGATCGTCAGTTGTGTGATCACAACATGATCATAATATTATCAAGTTTTCGACATGACACTGCTGGGTAAGCAAGTGCCGTAGATTTGCTGTGTGCGAATTTTTTGTTGAAAACCTGTATTCCATGTGGTTAATCATTAAAAAGTGCCGTAATCATTTTAAGCAGTGTAAATCTATTATTATTACATCAAGAGCAGACAACCCGATTAACGGGACTTCAACGTCTGGTCGGTACAAAAGTAAACAACATAAGATTACGACAGATCAATAGTATACCGGCAGTTGCTGATGCTGAGCACTCGTAACAGATGAATAGCGAAACTGTACGTTTTCTATGGCTAAAAACCTAAATTTGAATCTTTTAGTAAAATAAGATTTCATAATTATACACCCTAAAAGGTGGGACGGAGCAAACGATTTCGGTTGTTTTTTGGCGTTTAAATTTGAGTCATTGTAAGTAGTATCACGCAAACGCACCGTTTGATGTACGAATGACCTTTTCCTGGCGACTGCCGTTGGTCACAAATCTCATCCATTTTTGAGCACTGCCAAGTGCCAACGACAGTTAAAGAGTCAAGCCCAAATCCCACAATGCATTTTTACGCAGGCGACGTGTCGGCATGGAACGCCGTGGACGTTCTCCAGGATGAGCGGCTACAGCATGGCCACGTCATCAACACGACGGAGGGTGGCTAGCTCATCGATTTCCAGTGTGACAGTCAGCGGGCGCACTTTATCGCACTGCAAGGAGAACGCGGAGTACCCGCTGCCGGCTGCGCAGGTGCTGCTCCGCCGCCACCCGGATCGCGCTTGCGTTTGCCACCCGGGACGCCTCGCCAGTACTGAAGGCGCCCTCTATCGTGATGCGGCATTCGTGGCAGTGCACCCTGCCGCAGGGGAATGTTAGAGAGCTGATGCCCTGGCAGCAGACACGCTCAACCCCCGCGGGTGCGGAGTGCAGCAGCGGTGTGTGGGGCCGGGTGATTTCGTTGTGCCGTCGTGTCCGCTGGCCGTCACCCCTGGAGGCGAGGTATCGCCACGCGAAGAGCACTTGTTTCGCGCAGAGATGCGCGGACGTTGGAATGCTGTACGTATCTGTGAGATGCTCGAGTATCTCCAGCGTCAGATGGACTATCCATGGACAACACATAACTTCGTACTTTTACTTTGCTGTTAATTAGGAAAATGGCCGGGTACATGGTTTCGAAAATGGTGTACATACAATAAAACTATTCGCTTTCGCGCACTCCGAATGACTGCAAGCGCGGTTTTGCTGTTAGATGTTCGGACGTGCGGTTGCCGCGTGAACTGTTGGTGGTGATCTTCCAGTCGCTGGACTCCATCGGACGCGTGCGCTGTCGTCGCGTCCATCCACTGTGGAACACTCTTCTCACCACCGACACCTAGCTACTTCCCTGATGTGAGCTTCGCACGGAACGCGGACTAGCGTTTCCCGACGACGGCACGTACTGGCTGGTGGCTTGTTTGCTGAAATGCCTGAGCAGCCACACCCGGATGCTGCTGCTCAGCGGGACGGGTTGTTTACAAAACAGATCCTCCAAAAAGTCTTTAAAATTATTTGCTTGTACAATGTACATTATGCTTATCTCAGATCACGTCAAAAAGCGCTCTTGCAGTATTCGAGGGATCCTACCCTAATCGCTGCCGTTGGTGGGTGTTGCCGTGTTAACGTTGGTGTTCTACGACTGCCGTTTCGGCCATCCGTGTGACTACGCGGATGACGTGGTCTTCTACATGGCGCACCTCATATGGACGCCACGAAAGTACGAAAGCATCGCAGTCGTGCATCATTGATCTGCATGTGATCATGATGGCCATGATACCGCGTTATGTGTTCAGCACCCGGGACCCCCGAAGTTCTAGATCCGTCATCTATCTATAATTTTACGCCTCATTGGAAAAATTTACCTGTTCCATTATCCATAATCTGCGGAATTAAATGGGTGCAATTGGCGGAAAATGTACGAATTTGGCGGAAGCAGCGCTAAGAGAAAGTTCACAACTGCCGCCCATAGCGGCGGGTACGTTTATTCGGCTGCCAGCCGTAGCGTGCTAGTTGGCAGTAGTTGCTAACTTGCTACTCGTATTCGCATTTTTGTGTTCTTCCAATTTCTTGAAAGTTTTGCTGGAGTCCGTGAGCAGTCTCCATTTTCAGAAGTTAGTTTTAAAACAGTATTCATTTTCCATATCAAAACAATCTGCTACGTTGCATGCAATGCGCTGGTGGATGGCATTACGGGCCGCAGCCAAAATTATTCTCTAGGTTGTGATCACGATTTCATAATCTGCGAAATGCTTATTTACGGCGGCGACGACGAGGACGCCGTTCACGAGTGGAACGCCGTGGATGTTCTCGTTAACGGCCAGCTGCAGCACGGCCGCGTCATCAACGTGGCCGAGAAAGCACTGCTCATCGACTTCGAATGTCCCACACAGCGCGCGCAGTTAATCGAATACGGACGCGTCTTCCAGTGCAAAGAGAACGCTGAACGCTCCATGACGAACGTACAGGTCCTCCTGCGTCGCCATCCCGACGCCGCCTGGATCTGGTACCCGGGACGCGTGATCCCCATTGAAGGCTTCCTGTACGAGTATGCGGAATACGTGGAAGTGCGTCTCCCGAAAGGGAATGTCAAGGAGCTGCTGCCCTTGGCCCAGGTGCGCCCACGGTCCGCGGGATGGAAATCCAAGCTGAGACCCATGCGAAGGGGTGATTTTATGATTCGTTCTTGCCGGATGCCCACTCCTGGTTTGTCGAAGCAGCCAGCGTGGGTCGTGAAGAAATTCAAAGCGGAGCTGGTCCGCGTGGGGAAGGCTGCCTTCATCTCGCTGCTGGGGGACACCCTCACCTATTTCCAGCGTGTGGATGAACTGCTGCTCACGATGGAGCTGCTGGTACGTTTGCACACAGAGTATTACTTACTACACGCGCTACCTGCAGAACTTGTCCCGTAATTTCTATCGCATCAACACGGTGACAAAAAAGTATTTACAAATACGGGTGTTCAGCCAAACGCCATACTACGGCGCACCACGCCACACTTGTTGCGCTCTTTATGCATTTGCCCTGCACATTGCACAAGTGTCAGATTCATGCCAAATATCCATCCAAAATTCTAAATTAATTATCGATATGAATTAATTATGGAATTTTTAGTAGCGGTTTTGCTTTATAATCACTTATCTTAAATCTTGAGAGGGCTGAATTTGTCATTGTGATAGACGTAGTGTAGTGGCAGTGTTCGTAGCGCCAACCTTCGCGCTAAAATACCTACCCAATAAATCTGCATTGAGTGTATTCTATGCGAAACCTTATTTGCTGATAAATAAATGGCCGCTTATTACAGGTATCAATCTGCAAACTAGCGAAAAAACGCAGCGACACCCCGCGGTGGTCGGGCCCCTTAACGATTAGCAGCGTTTCACGAACCAGTAGAAAGCGCAAGATATCCGGCAGCGAGGCACAGGGATTCCCGTTACCCGTGGAAGTGCTGGCGGAGATTTTCCGCTCCCTGGACTCCATCGGGCGCGTCCGTTGTCGACGTGTCTGCCCACTGTGGAACATCATTCTCACCACGGAAGCCTACTTCCCCGACGTGCGCGTGTCCGGCAACTGCGCGGATGGCGATTACCCAGCGATGGACTTCTGCGAGGACGGCATGTACTGGGTGGTAGCCTGTGTGCTGAAATGCCTGAGCAGCCACACCAAGACGCTGATGCTGAGCCGGCTGGATTTGTTCGAGTGCCGCCAACTGATCGCCCCCCTCCACCACGTCCGCCCCGGCCGTCCCGTGCCAACGCTGGTGCTGTTCAACTGCCACCTTAGCGGACCCCTCCTGGACCGCCCCCGGGACGTGATCGGGTCCACGGTGCAGTTGGCCGTGGATCTCGGTTGCGAGCAAATGCTGTGGAAGAAGTGCCGTTTTTCCGACGCCACCCTGACGGCATTTATCCCGCGGTACGCCTTCCGCGTCCAGTCGTCGGCGGCGCTGACCGTGCAGTTGTGGGAGCTGTTGGAGAGCCATCTGGTTCTGGAGGAACCGCTGGATCGGCCGGGCATTGCCAAGTGGATCGCCAATCGCTTACTGTTCCCGCTCGCCCACTACATTACGCCCATTTTGCAGGTAATGGGTTGGATGTTCGTTGTGAACTTGGTTCAGTGTAATTAGTAATTACAGTACTGTATAGTGCAGTACAGTTATACTATTACAGTACGCTGGGAGTACAGTATTTGGCCCCGCTTTAAGGAAACTTCTGGCATTTTATTGACCGTAAAATTCGGGATTTAATTGGAGAAGCGCGGGTGCTACTGCTTTTCCAAAGCAGCGTTCTAGTGCGGCTGTTAGTAAAGCACATACACTAGTGCGTTACATTTTAGCCCAAGAGCGACTCTGGCTATTCTATCAGTCTTTAAATTGTAATTATTGATTAGTGTACTAGTCCTTGCGGTTATTGTTCTTTGGTGGCTGTTACCACATGCCAGGTAAAACACTGGTTCAATCAGTTGGTTCAGTTGGTTGGCTAACCAGAAGCTACCCTAGAGCTTCATAACCGGCAATAACGACTTGCTGCCTGCAGGGCCTCCACGATTACCAGAGCGCGGATCCCCGTCCCGCCACGCCCTACCGCGGTCGAGTATGGACGGCGTCCACCCTCGCCCAACTGGACGCCACACAGCTGACCACGCTGACGGCGGCGTTCCTGCAGGAAGGCGTGAAACATTGATCCCGTCGTTTCCTTTTCAGTGCTGACGGCGACGAGCAGCAGGCCGCGTCACGGCGTGGCTGTTGTTTAGTGCGGAACGTTTGCATTTAGTATTGGTGTTAACAACTATTAAACCTTAGTTGTAATTTGCAAATCTTAGTTGTCTTTGTTGTAATGTGATGGTTTCTTAATGTTACGTAATAATAATGTCGTCCGGATTTGGCACTGAGGGCGTCGAATTCTAAAAGATAGGGTTCAATCACTTGAAATCAACCAGCTCTAACTTCCAAAACGATATCGACAGCATGTCTAGAGAGATCTCCAGTTGACAATGTGCCGACACGTTTGAGCAGAGCAAGAATCTGATGGTATTAAAACCCGGGCGGAATCCACTGGAAACCGAGAAACGGCTGAAAAAGGCGCCGATGGGGTCCACAGCGTCGCCGTAGAAAAGCATTTCGCAGATTATGAAATTAGCGTGATCACAAGCTAGAGATTTATCTTGGCTGCTGCCCATAATGCCATCCACAAGCGCGTTATACGGTTATAGACGCAACTTAACAGACTGTTTGATACGGAGAATAAACTGTTTCTTGATACGGAGAATAATAGTCTTGATCTTCTCATGAACTACCCTTCCAGAAAATCTGCACAGATAAAAGTATTAAACTTTCAAGAAATCGGCAGAACACAAACAGCGTCAAAACTAACAGTAGTAACTAGCAAGCTAGTACTGCTGTCCGTAAGTAAACGTGCCCGCCGCCATGGGCGGCAGATGTGAGCAATCTGATACTTACTTGTTATGGAAAGTTACACCGTCAGTGCCTGCACGGCCCACGCTCAAGCTCTGACTCTGACTCAGACTCTGACCGCTCAAACTCTGACTCTGACTACTCAAAGTCTGACTCTGACTGTCCAAACTCTGACTCTGACTGAATAACCTAAGAATAACTTAAGAAACCTAAGTAACCTAAGAAAACTAAGAAACCTAAGAAACCTAAGAAACCTAAGAAACCTAAGAAACCTAAGAAACCTAAGAAACCTAAGAAATCTAAGAAACCTCAGAAGCCTAAGAAACCTAAGAAACCTAAGAAAACTATTAAGAAACCTAAGAAACCTTCAGAGTCAGAGTCAGACTTTGAGCGGTCAGAGTCAGACTTTGAGTAGTCAGAGTCAGAGTTTGAGTGGTCAGAATCAGAGTCAGAGTCAGAGTTGGAGTCTAGGCCTGCCTGCACGAAGTTTCTTGCAAATTTGTGCACAGTGCATTACTTACCTGGGTTCTCCACCCTTTTCCAGAATCCGTGAAAAAACTTCTAGTATTCAAAGCTGATTACTATTTCGTCGATAGAGTGCAACCTTTTATCTGCATGTAGCGCGCTTGAGAATGGCATTACGGCCAGCAGCGTGAGTTCTACGATCTTACGACAGTTTTGCTAACATTACTGCTATACAATCACCAAAATGCTTTTCTACGGCGACGACGAGGACGCCGTTCACGCGTGGAACGCGGTAGACGTGCAGATCGACGGCCAGCTGCAGCACGGTCGCGTCATCAACGTGGCGGAGAAGGGACTGATCATCGATTTCGAGTGTGCCTCGCAGCGCGCGCAGCTAGTGGAGTACGGGCGCATCTTCCATTGCACGGCGAAGGCGGAGCGTGCGATGACGGACGTGCAGGTGCTGCTGCGCCGCCATCCCGACGGCGCCTGGATCTGGTACCCGGGCCGCGTCATCCCCATCGAATCCTTTCTGTACGAGTACGCGGAATACGTGGAAGTGCATCTCCCCAACGGGAACGTCAAGGAGCTGCTGCCTTGGGCACAGGTGCGCCCAGCGCCCCGTGAGGGAGTCTGCCAGCATTCGCGCGTGCGAAGAGGGGACTTCATGATCCGCTCCTGCCAGATGCCCGCGCGCGGTATGTCCAACCAGCCACCGCGGATTGTCAAGAAGTTCAAAGCGGAGCTGAACCGGGTGTGCAAGGTACTCTACGTCTCGTTGGTTAGCGAGACCCTAACTTATCTCCAGCGGCCGGATGCCAAGCCACTCGACACAGAGCGAATGGTACGTTAATGCACGCGCCTATTAAATATCGTGCTGCAAGAAACCCCGAGAATAAAGCTCATGTCAGAGCGGCATCCGCCCTCTATAGGATCGTTCGTTGGAATATTTCAATACAATTTGTATGCTATGCCGATAGCCTAGTGGTGCCTTTCTCGGCATTAGAGTATGGAGGTTGTGGGTTCGATTCCCTCAATCGGCAGATTTTTTGCAAGTGTCTGTGCGAGCCTAACCCAGCCCTGACACTGATAATTGTTAGTTTTGCATGAGGAGATTTGCAAACTAGCGAGAGCGCGAAAAAAGAGTTCGTGGTGGTCGCAGCCGACGCCCCGCCCCGTAGCGGTCAGCAGCGGACCAAAGAATAGTAAAAAGCGCAAGATGTCCGGCCGCGATGAAAACGGCTTTCCGCTTCCGGCGGAACTGTTGGTGGAGGTCTTCCAGACATTGGACTCCATCGGACGCGTTCGCTTACGACTTGTTTGTCAGCTGTGGGACACTCTTCTCACCACGGAAGGCTACTTCCCCGATGTGCGCGTGTCCGTTCATGGATGCGCCGGTTCTGGCGCGGCGCATTTCGCGGAGGACGGTCTGTACTGGGTGGTGGCGTGCCTGTTGAAATGCTTGAGTGACCGCAGCAAGATGCTGGTCCTGAGCAAGCTGGAGTTATTCGAGTGCCGAGACCTAATCGCTCCTGTCAATCACGCTCGTCCCGGCCGCCGCCTGCCGGCGCTGGTGTTGCACGACTGCGATGTGAGCGAAGCCGTTGACAGTGTCCAAGAGGTTATGGAGTCCGTGGTCGATCTGGCCGTGGATTATCGGTGCGAGCGAATGGTGTGGGTGAAAGGCCGCTTTTCCGTCGGCACGCTGAAAGCGGTTGTCCCGCAGCACGTTTTCAGCGGCCAGTCGAAGGAGCAGATGCAGGTGGCGCTGTGGGATCTCTTGGAGAGCCACCTGGTTCTGGAAAATCCGCTGGATTGGCCGACCATCGCGCGCTGGATCGCTGGCTCCCTCGGGAAACTGCACAACGATACTGTTCCGACAATTTTACAGGTAAACTGCTTGATGAGTTAAAGATAAAATGAGTACTGACCGTCGGGTTCGTGTAGGGTCTGCAGGAATACCAGAGCGGGGATCCGCGTCCCTCCACGCGCTATCGCGGTCGCCAGTGGACCCAGTCCGACCTCGCCCAGCTGGACGTCGCGACGCTGACCACGTTGACTGTGGCGTTTCTCCAGGAAACCATGGATGACTGATCGCGCCGGTTATTTTCGGACTGGGACGAACGACTGTCCGACGTTCCCGTTTCTGGTGGGCGCCGCTGTAAACTGACGCGCTTCTAGCCGCAATGAGCGGATTAGAATCACTTGGCCTAATGTCCCTCTGAGTTTGCTTCTGACCTCCAGTATTAAGAAATTGTAATAGGAATCGTATTCTTGAGTCGTTCAGTTTCTATCCTTGATAATTGTCCACATTTTAACTGTTTCCACAAGGACAGATTCATAGCGGTTCGCAGGCCCGTAGCGAGGTCCGACGGATGGGGGGTGCGCAAATTGGCTGCGCCAGCTGCGCCCGTTTTGAAGTTCGGCCAGCGCCCACTGCGCCCTTGGATTTGAAAGCCTGCGCCCGTTGCGCACCCCTTATTCCTCGGGCTTCGCTTCAACCCTGCTCCCTTTGGACAGCCGGTCAAAGTCTACTGTGTGCCTAATTACCAAATTTACAAAAATTTTAATCGAATTTAACACGGCACCGCGCATGCGCCACGGGACGGGCGCACTGGTACCGGCGCCCGTTGCGCCCTTAAAAAATCCCTTGAATTTTGCGCCATCGCGCCCGTGCGTCAGTTTCGGGCGCAAAATAAATTCACAAGTTAGCCGAGGAGGGGGGTGCGTGCGCCCGTGCCAACCCCCCCTCGCTACGGCCCTGGCGGTTCGTAAAATTAATACGAATGATTTCCGGACTCGGCGAACCTCGGTGGTACACTACAGCCTAAGGAAGCGTGGTAACGCGAATACAGGCAGAATTTTTTTGTAAACTAATGCGGTAAACAAGTCAATATTCTACAGAAACTCGGTAATAAATTACAAAAAGTTACAAATTCAAATTTCAAAGACGGGTGGGACGTTGCTGCCACCCGCAGAGGTTGTTACCTGAACGAAGGCGAACGTCGCCTGCGTAATGCGTCGTGCTGATTTGATCGTCACACTAGGCCCGATCAATCCTAGCTGAACTTCTCGAGAAAGATATCGCGAAATAAAATGTGAAAGCAGTATGCGTCATTGATGGATGACACACCGCAAAAAATGAGAATGCGTTGGACCAATAATAAGCAGTGGATCACCAGACAAAACGCAAGCACTGACTGCTAAATGAATCGTGCTGCATAAACACAAATGAATTGTACTGCAGGTTGCAGACGCATATTAATCCGCATGCTTGATGGTAATTATTAAAATTTAATAAATGATTCATAACTTAACTGATTAATGTTATTTACTTACTTAATTACGCAGTAAACGCAACCTAAACAACACTGTTAATATAATTTACTAATAGTAATCCTAATAATAATCATTAATAGTAATTACTATAATTAATAATCGTAATTAAAATCGTAATTACTAAATTAGCAATTAGTCTAGTACTAATACTCTAATAGCAACTTTTAAGCTAATGGGGCCAAATCACTGACGCAGATTAATACTCAATCACATTTTTGTTATTAGCATATTAACTAATTAAATGAAAGCGCTTCATCGTTTTAGGAGTGACCACTGTGTAAAGTTCTGTTGACTATGCTGAACAACGGAGGTGAAAGTGTACGTGAAACAGAAAACGCAGCTTCGAAGCTGCGTTTTGTAATTCAACTGTGGATCACGCAGCGGACCAATAAGCGCAGCCGTTAGCTTTCGGCTTGAGAATGTTGTGGTGACTAACTCGCGTTATCTTTCACGGGCGCGCAAGAGAGCGTTGTGCCCTACTTCAGCCAAAACATCAGCTGAATCTTTACCCAGGTCTGATTAGAACTACTGACTTGCCTTTTAAATTCACATCGTTCTCGGTTCTCCGTTAAGCTCGTCATATTTTGTCGACTCATTGATTCTGTCCACCCAGCCAGGATATTCCGGTTTTGTTGGCATTCTCGAAACAAGCGCAAGAGCGTTTTATCTTTCGCTTCTGTGAGTTTTGGGACTACCAGGAACTTTCAGTGACTGTTCCAGCCATGTTGGTGTACGGAGACTCCGCGCATTCCGTGTACGTGTGGAACGCCGTGGACGTGTTAATCGAGGGGCAGCTGCAGCACGGCGAGGTGATCAACGTGGCGGAGAAGGGACTGATCGTTGATTTCCAGTGTCCTGGACAGCGCGCGCAGTTAGTCGAGTACGGGCGTATCTTTCAATGCAAGGAGCCCGCTGAACGCGCGACGCCGGACGTGCAGGCACTGCTGCGCCGCCAACCCGACGGCGCCTGGATCTGGTACCCGGGACGCGTTGTCCCCATCGAATCCTTTTTGTATGAAGAAGCTCAGTACGTGGAGGTGCAGCTACCCAACGGAACGGTCCGCGAGCTGTTGCCAGTGGCCCAAGTGCGCCCACCGCCCGCGGGAGGGGTGGTAGGGCAGGGGTGCGTGGGGCAAAGTGAGTTTGTGGTGCGCTCTTGCCTGCTGCCTGCCAGCTTCGGGTCGGACCAGTCGCCGCTGGTCTGGGAAGGTTTCAAATCGGAGTTGGGTCGAGCGTGCAAAGTGCTGTACATCTCGCGGATCAACGACACCTTCAGCTATCTGCAGCGTCAGGATGCGGAGCCACTCACGGCGAAGCAAGCGGTAAGCAAATATGCCGATAGTTGAATGATGGCGGTAAAACGACTTTTCCTGGCCAAAGCCGATTGTAAATGCGGGCCGATTCTGCGGATTTCTTTGATCTAGAAGCCGTCTTTGAACACCGAAAACGATTAAATAACCTAGAACTACCGTAGGTGGTGGCAATGGCGACTGAGGTCCAGATTTAAATTATAATCCCTTTCTGAACCTGTCTACTGTTTCAGTTGCTGTGGCTGATTCGGAGTGTTGTCAGAAAAATTATTTGAGCTGTCTGATAACGAGCTTTGCGATTCTAACGTTTTGAAGTTTTCAGTAGATTATTTTCTAGACATTCTTGACAATCACGCTGATAAAACGTGGTCTCCGTAGTTCAAATAGCTCGAATATGTTGTTTTAACTGATGCGTGACGGTATTTGATTTTCCAGGAAAACACCTATCAGTTATCCAAACGTAAGGGGACCCCCGGCCTCCCCCTGGATGCCAAACCACGACCCGACACGAAACCAGCGATTTCCGCTGGAGAGGAAGAAGGAGTGCCGTTGCCGGCGGAGCTCCTGACGGAGATCTTCCGCGCACTGGACTCCATCGGGCGCGTCCGCTGCCGGCGTGTCTGCGCGCTGTGGAACGACATCCTCACCACGGACGCCAACTTCCCGGAGGTCCGCGTGTCCGCCCATGATGGGAGTTACGGTGCGGCGCATCTCGGGAATCGCGGCATGTACTGGGTGGTGGCGTGTCTGCTCAAGTGCCTCAACAGCGCCACCACCACGCTGATTGTCACCGGCCTGGGTTATGAAGAATTCCCCCAGCTGGCCGCGCCCATCCGCCACATCCGCCAGGCCCGTCGCCTCCCGCTGCTGGTGCTGGGCGACTGCCTGCTGGGCGACCCAAGCAAGCCCGCCAAGGACGTTATCCCGGCCACGCTGCAGCTGGGCGGGGATTGTTTTGCCGAGCGCATGGTGTGGGTGCGCTGTACGTTGCTCGACAGCGCCGTGTTCGCTACTGTGGCGCAGTACACCTTCCGCGGCCCGTCAACGGCGGCGATGGAGGTGGAGCTGTGGGATGTGCTGGAAAGTTGTCTGGTGGTGCCGACATCGCTGAAACGGCCGCCCAGCGCGGCCATGGTCTCGCGGTGGATCGCGGACTGTATTGCGTTCCAAGACATCGGTCATATTCACGAGATCTTAAAGGTAAGAGTACCGTAGGACAGTCAGTTTCTTAATTTTTGGTTCAAACTTAGTGTAGTGAGTATGGTTGTGTACGCACTGTGCTTGCTGTACTACCGCTGCACCCTGATTTTTAATGCCCATTGGTGTACGCGTATGTGAGATGGAATGGAGATTTTGATTGATTTTTTATTGCTTAAAATTTTGTTGTGACGTGAAAATGTTGGATAGGCTCTCCGGGAGTACCAGGGTGCGGATCCGCGTCCCTCGAACCGTTTCCGCGACTGGAAATGGACGCCGGCCAGCCTGGTTGATCTGAATCCCACACAGCTGACCAAAATAGCCCTGACGCGGCTGACGCTTCTGAAGCAGTTCCTGGATGAAAACGATAAGGCCTCGAATCCGTTCCTTCAACTGCTGGCTTTTGTCTAAGAAACCGCTTTGCCGGCGGTCAACTCACGTCGCACCATTCTTTCTGTGTTGTGGGGTGCTTCTTGTTAAAGTTAAGTAATGTTAACAGTGCGATGAGCTGTCGTATTGGCATTTACTGCCTGTAGTGTATACTGTCTAGGTAGCAATCACGTACCATATATTAAAGCGGATGAATGTTGTCTAAGCGGTTCACCTTGTGTGGCCACTTGTTCTGACCAGCTCACCATGCGCATAGCATGACTAGACACATTTATCGGAAGCTGCCCATTCTATTTCTTAACCTAATTTTAGTTTTCGTTTTTCGTCCGCTCGTCGGAACGTACTAATAAAGTTAGGCCAGCGATCTGGCCGCACAGTGAACTGGTGTTTCTCGATTCTGGTTATCGTAATCATAGCTGCTTCGTGACCTCGCATCCTTTTCCAACCGGAACGGTCGTTTGCTCCCTGGAAGCGCTGTCCAAGCAATTCCAGTTGAGTGCTTTAAGAGCATCGTTTTAATATGAAGCCACCATAAAGGCAACAGTGAGCTTTATTTTATTCGCGACAAAGGCAATTACGCCTTCGACCGCAATCCGTCTCATGCAAGACCTTAATTAAGGGTTTAGTACAACATGAGAAATTTCCGTGCCCGGAACCTTTACTGCAGTTGCTCTAGTTAGGCTCTGATGCCATTGCGGATACGGCATTGCTGGAGAAGCTGGCTGAGCGCTGTACACTGGTCGGTGCCGAGTTTGTACTTTTGCAGACATTCGGCAAATTGCTGCATTTCCCGCTGACAGCCGTCTGCTTTGGCTGCTTGGCCCGTGCGCGGCTGATTCTGCTGCGACGGTGCAGAACGTGGATGGAAGTCGTCGTTAGTTTCGGAGGTGGTAGATTTCTTGGCTCGTTCCTGACGAGTGGCAACCCGTTCCTTGTTGACGGCTCGCAGTTTTAAATAGGCCCTGCAAAAAGCAGTTACTGAGGCGCATTTACGCTTGTCTGTACAGAATGCCACGTGTCCGATAATTTAAGTATCTTACGTCATAAATGAGCCGTTTCCACGAGCGCCGTATCCCCGGGAACGCCCACCTCCACCACCACCGCCGCCGCCACGAGGCATGACCGTGGAGTTCGGAAAGTCGGTGTCGCTTATAATAAGAAAACAGCAAGCAAATAGACACCGCGTTGTTTTATCCACTATTCCAGATAATTCAGAAGCATCGAATAGTGAATACAATTTGCACGTATTCACGCAATAATTTCAAATGCTAATGTTTTTCGCGCGTATATTGTACTGCGTTAAATAAAGCTTAATTCACTTTCACAGGCGAAAACGTTGAACAGTTCAAAGCAAGGCAAGCGATCGTAACTGCACCTACTCCGACTTTATCAACCTCCGCTGATTCATTTGTCGCTCAGTGCTTCGACACAATATTTCAGGCGCATCGCGTCATGTAACGAAATTAATCTTACATGGTGATCGAGAAATAAAGCGAAGCAGTATATGTATTGTTAGGAGGACTGTGCTTCTTATCTTTCAACGGCTCAAGTGTATCAGTACAATACATGCAGTACTCGCGCGAAAGCGATAAAACAACCAATGCACAAACAATTATGGTCAACGTGCTGTTAACCTTCAATTGTTGTAAGTATGCGACGCGTTGTTTCTTTCGTACTCGCACGATGGTGCAAGCTGTGGTTCAGTATAGCTGTACACTTTACCGAGCAAATGAAATAAACGAAATGAAATAAAATAAATGAAATAAATGGAATGAAATAAGTATAAACATTTTACGAGTGCGCGAAACCGAAAATCCTCGTGAATTCCGAACGAATTTTACTATGCCGGTACAAGGAAATCCAGCAAATTGTCAAAATTAGGCCGGCTAACTACAGAAAAACCTAACAGCTAAAATATTATCTTTACGAGGACATTTGGGTGCTGTGAACATACCCTGCACGATTAGGCTGCGATGAACAGCCGGCTGCGATTATAGCCGTTTCCATTCAGACTGTGATATCAGTAGCGTTGCGAGCTACGGCTAACCAGCTGTTCATCGCAGCCTAATCGTGCAGGGTATGTTCACAGCACCCAAATGTCCTCGTATTAATTCACTTGTACAAGCAAAATGCCATTTCCACTTAAACGAAAAAGGTCAGCTAGCAAGAACAAATAAAACAACTCTACCAGTTCTGGAGAACAAGCAACAGTACCCACAACGGAAGCCGCATTTCCGCACTCGAGAATGGTATTGTTTCGAGCGATAGTTTTAGTTTCAATTCCCATTTCATTTTTTGTATTTAATTCTGTGCCCTGTTTTGTATAACTGCAAGCCGCCCACTCTGTCGAGTACGGGAGAATTATTCGCGTCCCGACCGACAACGAGTAGGTCCAGCTCGAAGACAGCCGGAAGTGTGGCTCAGTCGCCTGATGACGGTATGCAGCGGATGTGTGACTTGGTCGAGGATTGGGCACAGTACATTTTTGCAGAAACGTACCGCACCGTTGCATTTCGGTGTCCACCGATTACGGATAGACATGGTAAAAGTGCTTAATACGTTAAGGGAAGCGGCCCGGTACATGGTACCAAAAGTCTCATTATGGACCGATCTCCTTCAAATTTTGCACGTAAATGCACATTACCACGAAGAACGTTTTTACACCGATCCACTGTTCTAACATGTTTTTCAAATTTTATATTAAAATGAATTTCAAAAATTTTTAAATTCATTTTAAAATTTGAAAAAAAACATGGAAATCTGGATCGGTGTAAAAACGATCTTCATGGTTATGTGCATTTACGCGCAAAATTTGAAGGAGATAGGTCCATAATGAGACTTTTGGACCTTTGGTACATCCGAATGCGTTTAAACTTTTTGGAAGGTCCTTACAGCCATAACTCCCGAACCGGATGTTGCGCGCGTAAACGGTGTTCAGGCCTGTGTATACAAATCATTTGGCTACAGAATGTCATAAACAAGAGGAAAAAATTGCTTGGGAGTGCGTGAAAGTGAAAGATTTCGTGCACATACTTACACGAATTTGGCATCATGTACCGGGCCACTTCCCATAAGTAAAATCAGTACATTGTGCGAAAACTAAGGATAGTCACCATCCAGAGCAATGCGACTTCATTAACCATATGCACCCACGCGGAGAGAAAGAAAAGAAATGGAAAACAGGCATAAACTCAAAAGGGAAGCGGCCCGGTACATGATGCCAAATTGGTGTACGCTGCACATTCACGAACTATTTCACGTTTGCGTGCTCCCAAACACTTTTTTATTTTGTTTTATGACCTTCTGTAGCCAGATTTGTATACACTGGCTGACTGCCAGGAAACACTTTATGCGCGCAGCATCCGATTGGGAAGTAGTTATGGGTGAAATAAAATTCCGATAGTTTAAACGCACGGCGGTGTACGAAGTCTCATTGCCCACCGATCTTCTTCACATTTTGCGTAAAAACGTACATTGGCATGAGGAATGTTTTTACCACGAACCAGGTTTCCACATTCTTTTGAAAATTTCAAAAACAAGGTGGAAACCAGGGTCGGTGTACAAACGACCTTCATGTTAATAATTATGCGTCTACCGCCCAGAGTGACAAGCACGTTCAAAAATCGGCCTCGCTCCTCGAGTCACTCGAGTCGAGTGTGATAGCAGTAGTCGGAGAAAATTTCAGAATGAAGATTCACTTTGAGCCCTTGATTGATTGATTCCTCCTATTTACGTCCGATCGCTTTCTGTTCAAGTGTTCATATAAAAGTTATTTAGGCATCGCTCGTGCATTAGCCATTAAGCCTGAATTTTTCCATCACGATTTCACAACCATCGCGAACGCACTGTTGAGTCCTCCCTGACCTAACAGAAGCCCGCACGCGCCATGCTGCTGTACGGCGACGAGGGCTCGGTGTGCGTGTGGAACTCTGTGGACGTCCTGGTCGAGGGCCAGCTGCAGCACGGGCGCGTCATCAACGTGGCCGACGGAGGCCTCATCATCGATTTCCAGTGTGCCTCGCAGCGCGCGCAGTTCGTCGCGTACGGCCGCATATTTCGCTGCTACCCCAACTGGCTGATCCCCACCGATGACGTGCAGGTGCTGCTGCGCCGCCGTGCGGACGCTGCGTGGCTGTGGTACCCCGGGAACGTGGTCGATCTGGACTTTGAGGACGCCAATTGCGTGGAGGTGTCCCTGCCGCACGGGACGGTCCGCGAGCTGCTCCCCTGGGAGCAGGTGCGCCCGCCCCTTTCCCATGTGGATCTGGAGGAGCGGCGGGTGATGCCTGGGCATTTCGTGGTGCGCTGGTGTCGCCTGGCCGTCCCCCATTGGGCGGGGGTGTCGCAGCGCGTCGGGCAGATCTTCCGCTGGGAACTGCAGCGACGGTGCGACGCGTTGTGTATATGCGTGAAGAACCAGACGATGGACTATCTCCAGAGACAGATCGACAATCCGTTGACAACTGAACAGGTGGTAAGTTTGTTTTGCTGTATCCGAGTGCATCTTGATGCTTAACTATCCACTATTTTCCGTTTGGTTTGCGGCGCGTTTTGCTGGTCGGTTGGTCTGCTTCCAGACGACACATGTGAAACGTAAAATTGTTTCTTAAATTTTATACTCTAAATTTTTGATACAAAAAGTTCAGAGGAAGTGATTTTGTGTGACGAAAGTTAAATAGAAAATAACGGGGAATTTTCTAATAATTTCAACTTGGAATTCGAATTTGCGCTGCCACATTGGGCGGCTGCAATTACGTCAAGCGCCGGAATTCCTTAAATTCCAATCTGTTGAACATTTCACCTTGGAGAATTTTGAGAAACATAAATTCCATTAGACAGGAAAGTGATTTTCCCAGAAGTACAGATTATTTCGAAAGAAATCAGTCGTGAAGGTTAGCGCTGTATCCCTTGAAACGAACTACAGGCGCCGCCAAGCAGTCTAGTTCCGAGTCGACGAGTGTGGAAACTTGATAAAATAAAAAAATTGAATTTTTTATTAGTGTAAACCCGCGCAGGCGCATTATTATCTATAGGCTATATGTACTGGCGGTTGTCGAATAAATAGATGACAAAACAAAAAATGAATAAGAAATCTAGAAAATAAAAATTTCACCGTGGTGGAAGAATATTTTATTAATAAAATTACGTTGGTTTCTTAAAGGAAGGCGTCTACAAACTGGCGCGGATGGCGAAGAGGAGCGATGTGACCTCCGGGCCGATTGTGCCCGTATTCCCCCACAGAGTAGTGCCCAGTGTGGCGCCGCTCCGTCGCAAGCGCAAGCTTTCCGGCGGTGATCGCGACGGTGTACCGCTGTCGGTGGAGCTGTTGGTGGAGATCTTCCAGTCGCTGAATTCCCTCGGCCGCGTCCGTTGTCGGCGTGTCTCTTCGCTGTGGAACGCTCTGCTCACCACCGACGCCTACTTCCCCGATGTCCGCGTCTCCGGGCATTGGCTGGATTACGATGCTCTGCATTATGCGGAGCATACGACGTACTGGGCGGCGGTGTGCCTGCTGAAATGCCTCCGCCACGCCACCAAGACGGTCGTGCTTAGTCATCTCGATGTGTCCGAATGGCGCGAACTGACCGCCGTTATCAACTACATCCGCCCAGCCCGGCGCCTGCCGGTGCTGGTGTTGTGCGGGTGTGATCTCGGGGAGCCCTTCGACTGGGCCAAGGACGTCATCGGGTCCACGGCGCAGCTGGCCGTGCAGTCCGGCTGCCAGCGCCTGGTGTGGGTCAACTGCCGTTTCGCCGATCGCGCCCTGCAGGCGGTGGTCACGCAGCACGCCTTCCGCGTCCAGTCGCCGGAGGCAATGGAGGTGCAGTTGTGGGATCTCTTGGAGAGCAGTCTGCAGCTGCAGAAGCCGCTGGATCGGTCGGCCATCGCGCAGTGGATCGCGGAGTCGGTTGCGCAGCAGCGCAACTACGATATTGAGATGATTTTGCTGGTAAGTAACCAAAAATGCAATCGCGGATATACAATGTAGGACTAAATGGTCGCATAGCCCCATACCCAGCATTCTGTACGCAAGCGGTGCGGTGCACTTGTACGAAACGGATATTTTGAAGTCAGTCGTACAGTGCACTGCGCTGCATTCGTACTGAATGTGGAGATTTTGGGTATGCGACCATTTTGTCCTAAGCTGTACTAGCGCACAGTTACGCTTTAAAAATTAAGAAAAAAATAAGTGACATCTCTATCCACCCGCGGATTAAAAGGCAGCGTACTTAACACAGCAGTTGCATTTCCCTTCATAACAGCCAAACTAAAACGTTGCTTGATAAAATTGTTCAGCGTAGATTGCGAAAGTTAGCGGCTGTTGAGAAAAGTCCAAGGTTGGTACTCTCAATACTGCGAGTGCGTGGTTATGAGATTATGCGTGGTAATGCTATGAGTGTATTGTGCACCTTCCCGTGTTAATTGCTACAAATTCTTCATTTGATCATGTTTGTTGAGCGAAGCTCGCCTTGTACATATTGAGAAATAAATTTATAATCAGTACTAGTCTACGAAATGATGGCGTGACCTGCATTGACCACACCCTTCACTAATGTAGGGCCTGTGGAATTACCAGAGCGCGGACCCGCGTCCGGCCACTCCCTACCGCGGCCGGGAATGGACGGCGTCGATGCTGGCCCAACTGGACGCCACGCAGTTGACGACGCTGACCACGGCGTATCTGCACGATTGGTTGGATGAGCGAGTGGCTACCTGATTGCTGGCTGCGGGGGGCAGCATTCCACCGGCTGGCTTTCGTTGAGCACGCGGCTTGTTCCTGTTGAGCGTCTTTCCGGTTCCTGTTAAGAGCGGTGTTACGTAGCGCGCAGATGCGATAGAAAGCAGAATTCCTGCTTACTGCCGGGTTATAAGCGCATTTCTGAGATGTGAATTGTGAAGAAAATGCAAAATACAAATTGGGTAACATTAAATGAAGTAGCGACCACCGGCCAGAAACGGGCGAAATAGTTTTTTAGACAGCGGTTTTCTATCTAAATGCAACGGGGAAACGCGATATGTGTTATGAATACAATCCCCGAGTAGGATAGCATTAGAGAAGTGGTTTTGATACAAATCTCGTTTTTTTAGTGCTCATTTGTACTAACATGCGATATCCATTAAAGGTCACCTCAATGAAGCAGCATGTATGACCACGAGCCGGTTACGCTTTAATAAGTGAATATAATAATATGTAGCAGTGTAGCCTGTGTCACTTACTTTACTTCTATGTATGACCACGATCTATTTTTCCGTCAAATCGCCACCAGAAAGAAAAGTAATGGACCGAATGGAATACCTAACCGAATAATACCGTTGATTGTCCCGTTGATTTCCGAACCACTTACTGAAATGGTGAACCAGTCGTTAGCGTGTGGCATTTATCCTGACATTTTTAAGGGAAGTGGCCCGGTACATGGTGCCAAATTCGTGTACATACACGAAAACTTTCACTTTCGCGCACTCCCAAACACATTTTTGTTTCGGTTTATGACATTCTGTAGCCAGAAGGTTTGTATGCACTGGTGTGAAAACCGTTTGTGCGCGCAACATCCGGTTCGGGAGTTATGGCTGTTAGAAAATTCCAAAAAGTTTAAATGCATTCAGGTGTACCAAAAGTCCCATTATGGACCGATCTCCTCAAATTTTGCACATAAATGCGCATGTCTATGACGATCGTTTTTACACGGATCTACTGTTCTAGCGTGTTTTTCAAATGTTAAAATGAATTTCAAAAATTTTAAAATTGATTTTAAAATTTGAATAAAATCATGGAAGTCTGGATCGGTTCGGATTTTAGTTTAAATTTGCGAAGTATGTACACGAATTTGGCACCATGTTACGGCCCACTTCCCTTAAGCGGGCGGATGTAACTGCACTGCCAAATCAAACACTCCAGCTACACCCGATGACTTCTGGCCAATTTCCTTGCTGAGTAACTTGTCAAAAGTGATTGAAAAGGTTGTGCAGTTGCAACTGGTGTAGGCGGTCAAAGCGCACAATATACTTATTTGTGCGAAATTTCTCGTGAAATCCGAACGAACTCAACTATGCCGGTATAAGTTTCGAAAACTTTCAGTTTCGCGCGCGTAGACACTTTTTGCTTTGTTTTCTGACATTCTGAAGCCAGATGATTTGTATACACAGGCGTGAAAGGCGTTCAACATCCGGTTCGGGATTTATGGCTGAAAAAAATTCCAAAAGTTTAAATGCATTCAGGTTAAATGCATTTGTTGTACAGATACAGCTAGGCAGAAGAAATGCAGCAGCGGTTTTGAGTACAGTACACTGAATGCGTGTTCTTAGACCACGAGTGACACTAAACGATTTTGGATGTTTTTAAAATGTTTAAAGTGTTACCGAGTCCACTTCTTAAAAATAATTCATCATCTTTATCAATATTTTTTTATTCATTTGCTTTACTCAGCATTCAACGCTTATGTCTGTCGCCCTCGTCATCGGTACGCGGGAGTCAGTCACCGCAGCAGCGTGATGTTCGCTGCAGCAGTTCGGCTTGCCACGTCTCGTCAGAAACCACTAGCCGCTTTCGTCTTTCCGAGAGCCCCTCTACTCCCGTCAAACCTGGAAGTTTGAACTTACACTGATTTGTTTTCTGTCTGATTCTGTGGTAATTACAATATTTTAGTTGTACATTGTGAACTGTCTGCTTTAAATAGCCAACAGCCTGACGCTGAATTCATTTAGCACAACTGCACAATTCACAATCATAGCAGCGGATTGCGCGTAGGACCGCGCAATGTTGGTTTACGGAGACGACGGCTCGGTGTACGGATGGAACTCTGTGGACGTCCTCGTCGAGGGCCAGCTGCAGCACGGCAGCGTCATCAACGTGGCCGACGGGGGCCTGATCATTGATTTCCAGTGTACTTCCCAGCGCGGGGAATTCGTCGAATACGGACGCATCTTCCATTGCAATGCGGACACGTCGGACAGCTTGCGGATCCCCAGGGGCGCCGTGCAGGTGCTGCTGCGACGTCGTGCGGGCGCGGCGTGGCTGTGGTATCCAGGGAACGTGGTGCCTCTGGGTGACTATATCGATGCGGTTTTCGTGGAGGTGTCCTTGCCCCACGGGAGCGTCCTTGAGCTGCTCCCCTGGGAGCAGGTGCGCCTGCCCCTCTCCCCTGCGGATTTGGAGGCGCGGCGGGTGAAAGCGGGGGCGTTTATTGTGCGTTCGTGTCGACTGGCCGTCCCCCGCTGGACGGGGGTGTCGCAGCGGGTCGCGCACATGTTCCGCTGCGAACTCAACCGACGATGGAAGGCGCTGTATATCTCGGTGATCAAGGAGACGTTCACCTACCTGCAGCCTGGGATACTCTTTCCACTGGACACTGAGCAAGTGGTAGGTGTTCAGAACGAGGCTTCGGCAGTTTTGCCCTATCGCCCCATACGACCAATTAGGCCTTGAAATTTCTTGTAGCAAAGTTTCTTAGAAGCCCTAGTCTACATGCCACTAGCTAAGTATATGATGCCTAAAATTTAGCGAAACTGGGCGAAGCGAACACGCATTTTTCGCTGCGGGAACTGGCCATGGGAGAAATTCTATAGAAAAATGATGCTTTATTATAAGTTTTTCGGTAAACAACTTTTAGAGCACGGCTTTAATATTGCTCAAAAGGTCGACGTATCCCGTACCACAAATATGCTTATTGCGTAGCAGATTTATGCTTTTTAAGTTTGAGAAAAAAATTTTTAATAGAACGCGAATTTAAATAGAGTCGCCTTTTAGGGTGACTTTAAAAAGCGATGCAGCACGAAGCCGATTGAAGATTTCAATATAGATATTGCTAGAATTTCAATTGAAATTACTAATTTTTTCAAATGCATCCAGAAGGGTTACTTGTAACTTAATCTTAAGACCTGCGCACAGTGTAAGGGTACTTCAAACTAACGCTGCATTTCTTGTCTCTAGATAAGAGCGAGACCAGAAAAAATTATAAATATAAAAATTTCGCCGTGGTGAATTGTTTTACTAACTTACGCCAGTTGTAAGTTTTTTATGACAGCCTTCGCAGAAAATTGCATAAGAATTGAACGATTCATCCGTTCTCCGATATCTAACTTGTTTCAAATAGAGGAAGGTTAGTTTAACAAAAATACACTCAGTTTAGAAAATCGCTGATTTATAAAATCGGGTTCTTGCTATTCATTGGTTCGCCTAAAACGATGTTGGTTCTTGAAGGCGACCGTCTACAAACTGGCGCGAAGTGCCAAGCGGGGTGAGGGCATGTCAAAGCAAACCCTGCCGAAGCTCCGGCGTAAGCGAAAAACCTTGGGTGGTGAATATGAGGAAGAGGGATTAGTGTTGCCACCAGAGCTGCTGTTAGACATCTTCCGCTCGATGGACTCCGTAGGGCGGGTGCGGTGTCGCCGTGTCTGCGCACTGTGGAACGCCCTTCTCACCACCGACGCCTACTTCCCCGATGTGTGCATCTCCGGGAATTGCGCGGATTACGCTGTGATGTATTTGGCTGAGCAAAGTTCGTACTGGACGGCGATATGCCTGCTAAAATGCCTCAGCAACGCCACCACGGTGGTTGTGCTGAAGGAGGTGGATTTATATGATTGCCGCACACTGACCGCGCCCATCCAGTACATTCGCCAAGGGCGAGGCATGCCGGTACTGGTCTTGTATCAGTGCGATCTGGGCCGGGCATTCTACTGGCCCGAGGACCGCATCCGGTCCGTGGCACAGCTGGGCGTCGACAGCGGCTTTGAGAGAATGCGGTGGGTAAATTGCCGCTTCTGCGATGACCGTCTGCAGGCGGTTGTCTCGCAGCATGCCTTCCGCGTTCAGTCGCAGGAGGCAATGGAGGTGCAGTTGTGGGATGTGTTGGAGAGCAGTCTGATTCTGGAAACGCCGCTGGATCGGCCGGGCATCACGCAGTGGATCGCGGATTGTAATGCGCACCAGCGGAAGCACGATGTAGAACGGATCCTGAAGGTAACTAGTTGCCAGGCAAATTGCGGGGTGCACAGATACGCGGCGAACGTTGACCGCATAATTAATTTGTGCCTCGCTGGTATCCATGCCCCCTAATACTTGGTTGACCGTCACAAAGTCGACCGAAAGGCGCTGCTCGTCCAGAGGGTGTCGCCTAAGAACCCTAAGAAAACCTAAGAAAACCTAAGAAGCCTAAGAAACCTATTAAACCTAAGAAACCTAAGAATGAACCTAATAAAACATAAGAAATAACCTAAGAAAACTTGAAAAATGGAAGTTTGTGTAGGGTCTTTGGAAGTACGAGACAGCGGATCCGCGTCCCTCTTCTCGGTACCGCGATCGAGAGTGGACGGAGTCGGACTTGGCTGATTTGGACGTCACGAAGCTGACCACGTTAACGACGGTGTTTCTGCACGGTTGCCTGAATGATTAGATACATTCTGGATACCCTAATTGTTGCCAGCAGCCAACCGTGGTGTTTCGGTTGCGCGCGCCGCAGCGTCGTCCTCGTTTTCGGTGGGCGGTTCTTGTTGACAGCGGTGGCAGATGTTCGCAATGCGGCGAATAGTATCCACTCCCTGCTCGATGTCGTATAATATGGTGCTTTTTGTATTACCGTAGGTTGTGTAACTTTTGTATAGACTTTAAATGATAATTCCTGGCTAGTGCAATGTACATACGTATGTGTAGTACGTATCCGTTATGGTTTAGACTGCACACTGGTTGTTAATTACACCATAAGTTATGAATTATGTGTTATGTATTCACGACGCATTTTTGCGCTCGACAAACAGCACGCATTTAACGCATTAATACGCAATTGTGGTTGATTCGTTTGCTATGAGAATTCTCTCTGGACTTGAAAAACTGGTGAAATTGTAATTGTTAATAAGAAATTACGTTGGGGCGCTCTTGTTTCTTCTTGTGACGAAAACATTAGTGTGCGTTCCTACCGGAAGTCACTGTAATCCGTAATAAAAGTTTTATCCTAAAACAATCTCGATATGGTGCTGTTAATTCTCGAATTTCAGCGCTGCGTGGCCTGCACCACATCGCAAAATTCGCCACCCAGTCTCGATAAAAGCATCGCTCGCATCGTCGCATGCGGTTATCTAGTAGATCCGTTATCTAGTAGATCTGCTTTCCCCTACAAATTAGGCAACGATCGAAAGTTGGAATGCTGATTGTGTTTTTAGGCATAGTTAAAAAGCATCAGAACTCGGACGCTGGTTTGCTAACTTTGCTTATTATAATTTTAATAGTCGAACGGCATTTATAGTAATTGAAAGAACACGCTGTCGTACAGTTAGGAGAGCGTTCTGCTAAACTTTTTCAGCCCTTTTATATACTTGAGGTTCGTATTGGACAGTGTAATACAAGAATATCAGTTAACAAAAACCATCACATCATTTCCGTTCCGCTAAATGAAAGGCAAAGTACACATCTTCCTTCTCTACCGTGTCGCTGAATGTACCGAGAACAGAAATTGCATTTCCTCGCTGAATCTCAATACCAATTCTTTGGCGTAAAAACTCTCCTGTGCGGGGGTTGCCTGTACTGTCGATAATCTTTCTCGACAGCTCCCTGAAGAATTTCTTCGTCAGTGGTCCAAACGTGCCCGTAGTTTCGAACGCCAGCGGTTGCACGGTATAACGGTCTGCCAGCCCGCTGTACTTTCCTAACTTCCGGTTTTCACGTATTTCTGCTGCACTTCCCGGAACCCTGGACGTTTGAGCGATGTACGTTTGGGCAAATGTGTCCGCCACGGTTACATCCCACACTAGCGGCTTTCCATTTCTCCAAGGGAATGCTGTCACACCGTCGGGCCGCTTTCCATCGCCTCTGTCTAAACCCGCCGGTTGAAGGAACGATGGCACTTTTGCCGAACTCAGTGCGCGCTTCATTGCTTCGTTCAAGACGGCGTGGACACCATGCCTTCCTTTCGCTAACTTGCATACCAATCCATGACGTCCAAGACTGTCTACAGTATTACCGCACCGGCAAACATGTTTTTCACAGACTGGAGCTCCCAGCTGCCGCGCCACGGCAATGCGCAAGTGTGCGTCCTCCAGTAAATTCCCGAAAATTGAAACGGGTAAAGCAGATAACCAGGCACGCGACTCCGGTGAGGATGCTGCCAACAGTCGAGCAGAGGTAAATACGTCGGTGTTATCCATCATGCTGGTCGCTATCTGGGAGTGCTGCAGTGCTGTCCAATCCGACTGGAAACAGAGACTTTCCATACGCGGGGCTCCATGGAGAACCGATCTGTCCATGTTTCTGTTAATTGATTACACCTGTCTCTGATGGTGGCGTCGCCGGTAATGCTGCACACCATTCCGGTCGCTCCATGAACCGAGGAAGCATAAGCAGCTAGCCGGACATCCGCTGCGTTAATCAGTCCCAGGCCTCCAAATTTCGTGGGTAACGAGGCTTGTTCCCAGACTGAACTTGACATTGCTACGTTGGTGATCTGTTCTGCTTTCTCCCGGATGACGTCATCAAATCTGTTCAGCTCATCCGGAAACTGCCAACACGGTGACGTTCTAAAAAGATACAACAATTTTGGCAGCGACAAGCAGTTCTTAAGCAAGAACAGCGCCTGGTGTGAAGGCAATATACCCAGCTGTTCGGCAAGCACTTGAGCTTGACCGACCTTTTTCATCAAAACGCCCGCGACAGCTTCATTCAATAATGGTGAGCCCAGTAGTTCCAGTTCTTCCGGCTTCGAAATCCGGATATCCGGTGCAGCGTTGAGGAATGTCTGGACTACAGCCTGACGCTCTTCGGGGGTTCCGCCGTGCACGTACAGTTCGCATTTGGCTGTGTTCAGCTGCAAGCCCACTGTGGCGGCTGCTCCTTTGATATTCACCAGGGTATCTTTCACAACTTCCGGATCACCAGCGGAAACTCCGTCGTCTAGATACCAGAGGTTGATATCGGCGTGGCTCTGTGAAGAGACATCCTGCGTTAGTAAACCATAATACATCGGTGCGCAGGGATCCCCCTGCTGCACACCACAGGCGGATGGTATGGTGACGCCACTACTGGAAGAAACGCAGAACAGAGTTGTGGCTTCGCCATAAGCTGAACGAACGAAGTTATAGTATGCAGGAATCCGCTCGAAGACTTTATCCAGCAGCTTGTCTCGGCAAATGTATTAAAAGCGTTAGCAAAATCAAATTTCTGGAACGCTCGCGGCTTCATAGACGGCTTATGTAAAAATTCTCTGGCACAGTGCACGACTATTTCAGCTCCTTTTTTGGTGCCAAATCCAAACTGAACTGGTCGGAAAAAATTCCCCATTTTTTCCGTAAGACGAAAACACACAATTTTTGCTACTAGACGGCGTAATGTGCATCCGGAGGCAATGGGGCGGATGTCACCGTTGGGCTTTACAAAGGGAAACAAGTTCGCTTCGAAGAAAATTTCTCTTGCTTCCGCTGGAATTTTCCTGTTTAAAACATGGTCCGCGAACTTCACCAGGGCATCCAACAATTTCCTGCAGGTTTCGCCTTTAGTGAACAGCAGATCCTTCAAGTGGTTTGCGCGTAGTCCGTCCGGGCCTGGGCAGGTACCTGAAAATCAAACGACTCAACAGCCGATAACACTTCTCTATGTGTAACGTTAGCAGGAACCACATCGACGGTGCGCACCGTAGCATCCAGGTCAACGGGTCGACCTGGATGTTTCTCTTTTAAAATCGCGACCACTTCATCTGTTAACGGAGCAATGGTTTCCTGGGATACGAGGATGTTCATTGCTCGCCCGATCGATCCACATTCTAGTTTGGCGTTCACTAGTTTAGCCTTGACTGCGGCTGCTGCTTTCGGTTTCTGCTGCTTCTTGTTTGGAGTGGAACGATCCCCGTCTGTTTTCTCGTTTTATTTTTCTTGACAGATGTAGCAAGCGACGGGCCTTTGCCGGATTTCTTAGTAGGAGCTGTCAGAATACTGGGTGCAAAAAGGATCAAATCGCTCCATGTGTCGATATCGTTTTTAGTGCAGCATGCAAATAATAATTTCGCAAGGGCATCTGCACACGCATCTCTGGCACCTACTGGAACGTGCGGGAGAATGGGGTTAGTCCGCCTTAACCGAGAAAGTCTATCCACAAGCTTTTCGTCGGGAGGAACAGCTTGGCTGGATGCAGCGGGGATCACAGGTTCGCTGCGCAGTTTTTTGGCTTGGGCTTCTCTGCATTTTCCGCTGTCACGGTGTTTTCCAATCCCATGAGCACTTACACAAACTTTCGCGCATAAATCACAGATGAAATTACTACTGTTCTGAGACGACATTCGAGATCAAATCCATCAGATTAGATATGAATTTCAATATTTAGATACTAAGACAGTAAGATAATGTGTACCAATAACCTTAGAATATTTTGTACCAATAACCCTACCCTATGGGCACCCTATCATTTCGGAAAGTCGGAAACCATTCATTTCGGAAACCATTCATTTCGGAAATCATTCATTTCGGAAACCATGCATTTCAACACTTTTCCTTTAACAGTTAGTCACAGAAAACATTATTTCGGCCATTATCGTACAGAAACAATTATACAATTGTGAACTGTCAACGGAAAAGCATTTCAGGGATCTTTTTCATAAACTTCTATCAGTTTTATGTACTGTTTTGCTAAACCGTCCACGTATCACAGAGGTGGCCATAAGTCGGCTGTCCGTAGTGATCTCAGCGAGGGAGGGCGGTCAGATGAAGTCCTGTCTGTTGAGGAAATTCCGAAAAATGGCGATGGGGCGGAATCGAACCGCTGGCTACAGAGTGTGTGATGAGTATGACTGTCATCCACGTAGCACAGCCACTGTGCCATCGCCGCTGTTGGCGAAGATCAAGATATTTGTGCTTGAGCTTGCGCCAACCAGGTAGGCGGCGGATGGGCGGCTGCCCTGTGTACAGAGGATTCTCCTTTTACACAAGTTATCTTACGAGTAGGTTTTCTGAAAGCTTCAGTTTTCTCACATTGTTGTTTAATCAGCCTGATGTCAACGAGGTCATCGACTGACGTGGAAAAGGTATCGCATCAGCGAAAGTCTGGCATGTAGAATATCCTAATTTTATATCGCCAATCTAAATGCTAATTCACACGTTACTTCCGTATACAGATATTTATGCTCACAAAAGCACGTCGGTTTCGTAACATTCCATTTGGTGTGAAAACGGATTGTCTTTCGCAGTCTGGTAAGTAGAAGACTCAAAAAGCAAGCTGATACAACGTCTTGTCAGGAACCGATCCTCTTCAGATTTAGCACTTACGAAGTTACGCGTAAATGAATACGAAGACGATTTTTGTGACTGAATCATTGAATGCTGTAGCACAATTCCTCGAAAAATAAATTTCGTTTTCCACTGTTTTCAAAATTCGACCCGAAGCAGCCTGTTGAGTGTCGACAGGGAGACAAGTGCGCGGCAGCCAGTTACTGGCAGCAGCGTGACGTTTGCCATTCAGCCTACTATGCTAACTTGCACTTGCAGTTGCAGCAGTTGGACTTGGGTACTTCTAGTAGAAGCAGCAAAACAGAAAACTAGCAAACTGTTTCCCTCCTGCGTCTTTTCATAAAACTTGAAATACTTTTGTGTGGATAGTGTTAGAAGACAGTCAAGACACAACGTTGACTGATCAGCTCATGAGTCTTACAGGCGTCTGAGGCAGATGCTAGATGTTCTCCATCGCAATTTTCAACGATCTCCACGTAGTACCCCATAGCATCACGCAATCAATGCCTATTTACGGAGCCGAGGGCTCGGTGTACGCCTGGAATGCGGTCGACATGCTGGTGGACGGCGAGCTGCAGCACGGCCGCGTCATCAACGTGGCGGATGGGGGCCTGATCGTCGATTTCCAGTGTAGCGCACAGCGCG